CATGTGTTTCTCTTTTCCTAACTCTCTCCAATTAAATTATTTTTTCTTTCATATGCTCCAAACTTTTTTCTCTATAGACATACTACAGGTTGTACTCAATATTTAAATTTTGTGTATTTTTGTAATTATTTGCTATATATAATTAATTAATTGCATTTCAAGGAGTTTTTTTAATCGATTAAAATTTGAACAGCGATTGATTTAAACACGGGAAAAAATTAAGTAGAAAATGATATTCATGCTATTTATGCATTATTGAGGGCAAATAACATCTTGTTGACGTTTTTTTCACCTTTTATTTTACGAATCGAAGACCACGAACATATGTCGCCCAACGATTTAAAAATTCTTAAAAAAGGAAACGAAGTCGGAAAATTGTGATATTTGCAATGAAGTCATGGTATCACACTTGGAGGCTGTGGTCAAAAATTGAAAATGTTTCGCACAAGTGGTTGCGTATGATTCTTACAATCTGAGACATCTCCGAATAAGTTTCATAAAGTTGAGAAGGATCCATTAGGATTTTCAAACAATGTCACGGTCGAATTAGTTTTGGAGTTCCAAACTTTTTGTATAGCCATTAGAGAGCATAAGTTGTAACACGGCAAAATTTCGTATTTTTCCGGAGCCGTTTGCTGTTTATTAATTTTTTTTTGATATTATTTGCCGAGAGCTTCAGAGGATTGCTCTCGGCAAAGGCTCTTTGCCGAGAGCAACTAGGCCCGCTCTCGGCGCAGATTTCTTTATTTTTACCTGGCCTGGATCAATGGTTTGCCGAGAGCTGCTCTCGGGAAAGATTTAATTTTTTTTTAGAAATATCATTTTTTGTTCAGTTTGCCGAGAGCTACTCTCGGCAAATAATAATTTTTATTTTTTTTTAATATTTTTTGTGCAGTTAGCTAGTTAAAAAATTCGAACGAAATTTAAAAAAAAAATAACTTTACCGAGAGCCGGATCTGGGGGCTCTCGGCAAAGGGGGAAGGTTTGCCGAGAGCCTCCAAGATCTGGCTCTCGGCAAAGTGGCTTCACCACTTAACCGTTTCGGCGCAGCCCCGCAAGCCCCGCAAGGTGAACCGTTTCGGCCGCAGCCCCGCCGCCGCCGCAGCCCGCCACGCCCGGCCGCGCGCGCTGCCGCCGCCGCTCCGCCCAAGCCTCGCCGCCGCCGCAGCCACTAAAGAGAATAAAGGAGTCCGGTAGTCCGGTAGTGAGTCACTAAAGAGAATAAAGGAACAGAATGCAGTGCCACCACCACTTCATCATGTAGGGTGCTGTCTAGTGCAGAGATGTCAACTCAGTTATAAAAAGTTCCTAGGCTCTTCTTGATTGAGCATTTAAAAATCTTTATAGTTTTCCATAAGTGGTGGAGCCAAGTACAGTTTTGTGCATTCTTCTGTTATGGTCAATTGCCATCATGCCTGCTTGGCACCATGCCCAAGTGGTAGAAGTGGAGTCAAGTACGGCTTGGTGACAATTTTCTGCTCCTGGCCAATGCCATGATATTTGATTGAACCTAGCTAGGGTAATGGAATCTCGTAGTTGTTCCAACCAATGGTAAGTACATATAATTGCACCATTGGTAGGTAAATCTCAACAGGTCTGTTTTTTGGCAACTTTGACTAGTTTATTTATCAATATCAGGTCAGGGCTCTCTCTCTCTTTTCTCTGATAAACGCACATTAGCACCTTTTACAACTTATAAAACGATCTCGACCTAGCGACAACTCATGCTTGGCACAATGACTAAGAGGTATGTAATGCTTTTAGCCCTGCCCAAACCCCAGTACAGCTCTTCACCATCGAGCAGTTAAAGCTTTAGCTATACTCTGGGACACAACATCAAACACACACCGGTTGCAGTGATTCGACAAGGTCCAGGCACCAAGTCAGGGCTTTGTCAAGGGCAAATTTTCATCCATACCATAACTTAAGGGGCACTTTTTTGTTTATTATACCACCAAGCTAGTCAATGACAATGTAGGGTCAGGTCCTACATAACATCGACACAGGCTGACAGGCTCGCCACACGTGAGCTAACACACCCTAACTGCTGCCCTTTCTATGATCAAATGGATGAAACTATACGGCACTTGCTGGTTTCTCTAGGCAAATGTGGTTTATTGTCCTCCAATTTTGGGACTGCAGCAGGTGGTTACCCAGCCAAGCTCAGCAGGTTTCTCCTCAAGGTGGTGCCAAGCTCTAAATCAGGGGGGCAAGCAATTCAGGAAAGGGCTCAATTTTTCTTTTTATCATCTTAGTTGCGTGGCAAACCTGGAAGCATCGTAATGATTGCATTTTTAATATAACGAAGCCAAATGTATGGCTGGTAGTCCGGAGCATTTCAGAGGAAGGCACCTTGTGGTGTGCAGTGTGCTGCAGGTGCTAAGGAGTTACAGAAATTGACTATGATATATGCTGCCAAGCTTTTACAAATAGCTGCCAAGTGTGTTTTTCACAATAGTAATTATTGACTAGCTCCACTTACATTTAAATCCAAAAAAAATAAAAGAAGGTCAAAGGTTGCTTTACCAGAGTTGAGCTTCACTAGCAAGTTTCATCTTAACATCTCTGGGGGGCACAATAAATCAATAATCATCTTTCACCTCCATGCAGATGGCGATGTTTCTTGGTTGCTGTCATTAGCTGCTACTTGACACCTCGGAGGCCTGAAGCACCTCGGCAAAAAGGAGCCGTCCACTGAGCCTTTTTGTCCCCGGACCGGACATGCAGATGAGTGGTAAGTAACCAACCTGAATGACAGGAGGGTCATTGTGGGGGCAACCGCCAGGAGGCGAGGGCTATGCTGCAACGGATCTCCATGGATCAAGGTGTCGCCACTTGATTGAGTACGAGTCAGAATCCAGACACACAAGATGATATGATAATGATGTACTCAAAGTTGCTATGAATGTGGGGGCTGACAGTGGGCGAGTTTCCGTGTGGGTTTGGGCTATGGAATTGGAATTGGGCAGTCAACGCCACGAGATTTGGAAATATTACATTTTTATATGTTTATTATCATCCCACTTGGTGGGAAGCCGCAGGATTTGGTCGAGAAAGTGGAAGTATTTGCTCATGTTGCGTTGAGGCTCATACACACGAGCAGAAAATTTGCAGTGGTGGCCAAATCATCATGTATCTGAAAACTGGCTGGCTCAGGGCACCAGAGCTGTTCATTTTGCACCAATTCTGCCCAGTATCGTCACTGTCGCGGTTCTTTTTTATATATTTTATTATCTGGAAAAACATGGAAATGTTTCAAAAACATCGAGTTATCTACATGTAATAATTCATCAAATGTGTTGTGATAGAGCTCGTGTGTTGTACCAAACCGAAAGCGATGAAACTGGTGTTTTTGGGCTGTACCAGGACCAGAGCGCCATTGGCAGCAATGAGCTGGGGTCGTACTCGTACGCGCTGCTGCTCTCTTGTCTCCACGACAACTCAACACCAACCCGTACGTGCGCGTACTGAAATCCACAGAGGGAGCTGGGCTCTGATCTGGGATCCATCCGCGTGATACTGCCTACCAAGCAGTACCGACTTGCAGTTGCAGGCCAGGGGAGGTCATGTGGTTCAGGTCAGTGCGTTTTCGCTATCAGCGTGCACCGAAAAATGGTCGCCAGTTTTCTGAGTCATCTACCATTGTCCATTGGCATATAGGATGTGTCACTCTCTGCCTGCTTTGGAGGCTCGACACTTCAGTACAACAACATTGTTGGGTTCTTGGTGAATGGTGAGGCTATTCAGATTCTCTCTAGTACTTACCCACTTGCATTGCAAGCGAAGAAACTGAACCGCAGCAGCAGTCACGGAGAGGAGCGGGGATCATAGTGCAGCTCTGATGGTCGCCTGGTACCAAGAGCACGCCTCTGCATAATCCACTGTGCTAAGCACCTTTGATGCATGCCTGATCTGCTGCCAGTTTGCTACAACAGCTCAGAGATGACTAGGCCTGTGTACTGCAACAGCACCACAGATCTTCACAGCAGTGACATACTGATCCCCCTCACAGCTGCAATCCTGCACAGAGCACATAAGCAGCACAAGAGCAAAACCTGACAGACAGGAGAGAGAAAACAAAGTTAATCCTGAATCAGGTCGCACTCATAAACTCATGCGGTGAAATGCAGTGTGCAATAGTTATATCATCACAGTGGGAAAAATGATAGGGCGCAAAATCATTCCCCACCAAGAGATACTACATGGTAAAGTCGGAACAGAAAGCTGTACTGTTTGCACTGGTCGACCATCGACAGCCAAAAGTTCTGATGCTATTGCCCAGTTGTCACGCCAGATCTGTGCCTCTTCCCCCATGGTTGCATACCCAGAAATCCGAAATTCTGAAAGATGGTAAATATATTCAGATTTGCATAGTGTTTGCAAAATAGAAACATAGATCTGGCCATCTGGGTCTATGTACACCGTGAGGATGTAATAAGTTACATGTACACAGCAGCAAAAGCTAGAGTACAATTGGGCAAAATAAATATAAATAAAGCAAGATGGGGTCGGGGCGGTCCATCTGTTGCAATAAAGGACGAGTCTTTTACCTGTGTGCCATTATAAAAGTTGGGTCTAACCTCCACGCCACTAAAAAGTTCGAGCATACCTGTATGCCCAAGTCGAACTTGGTTTTACCCTATGTGCCATTCCGTCCTAGTCTGTTTGGTTTTGACCGTTTGAGAGCTCTTACATGCGGGTCCGGGTAGGGAAAATGTCTGAAATGTCCTTCTCTCATGACTCTACCATCTTGCTTCTCTCTATGCCATGTGGGACCAAGCTGTCAGCAAACACATCTCCTCTATCTGTCCTTCACCTCCGCCCTCGCCGCTCTGTGTGCCACCACCGCGTGTGCCAGAACGCACCGCCTGGGCCGCCGCAACCGCGTCCAGCGCGTGCGGGAGCGCCGCCTGGGCCGCCACCACCGCTCGCGGGCACGCAGGCGCAGCCACGGCCACGGGAAGGTACCTGGCGCGGACCGCCGCTACGGCCTCGACGCGATGACAGCGCCACGAAGCCCTCCTCCTGCCGGCCCTACGAGGAGCGCCGCCGCCGGCGCCACCGGCTCCGCCCCTAGCCAAAGCGCCCGCGCGGCCTGCTCCGCCCCCGATACCGGCGCAAGCGCGGTCTGCTCCGCCCCCGGTACCAGCGCGGACGCGGCCTGCTCCGCCCACGGTCCCGGCGAACGCGGCGCCGACTTGGAGTGCCAGAACGCCCACTCGGCCGGTGTGGAGGAGATGCGGCCAACTCCTCCCATGGCGCGCCGCCGCGGACACCCACCGTGCCGGCGGACTCCTGAGCAACCCGCGTCGAGCTCCTCCCTGGCCACCGCGGGCGCGCGCGGGGCTCCGTCCCGTCCACCGCAGCACGCACGAGGGCTCCGCCCCAGCCACCGTCGGCCGCTGCGGCGGCGCACAGACGAGCTCCGCTCCGGTGACCGCGACTGCGCGTGGACGAGCTCCCCCGGCCATGGCACTCGGCTTGTCTCCGGGGGCGCGCAGGCGCAGGCGAAGTCGAGCGAGGAGTAGGAGGGGGAGACGGCGAGGAGGCTGGGGCGGAGGTGGCCGCGCGCGTGGTGGAGGTGGAAGAAAAGCGGCGCCGTTCCCCGTCGGAGAGGAGGTGAGAGGAAAGGAATGAACGTGGGCCCACATGTCATTGGCATTCAGGTCTAAGGGCATTCAGGTCTTTTCTCCGCGCAGTTAACCACCGTTAGCACCAAAACTGGACGGAATGGCACAGAGGGTAAATCCAAGTTCAACTTGGGCAGGTATGCTCGAACTTTTTAGTGGCGTGGAGGTTGGACCCAACTTTCATAATGGCACACGGGTAAAAGACTCATAAAGGACAACCGACATTGCAAGTGTACCTAGCCACTCAAAGCTAAATTCACGTTTACCTTCTCTCACCTCAAAGCACAACCAGATCTTGGAGAAAAATGGCCCCTAAATTAGTCTTTGTTCTTCCAGTTGTGCTCCTCGGCTTGGCACTCCAGGCGATTCTCCGGCCACCGCCCCAAAAACTCTGTGGCTCCCCAGGTGGCCCTCCTCTGACATCCCCCAGGATCAAACTCAGGGACGGAAGGTACCTTGCATACAGAGAAGATGGAGTACAGAAAGACAAGGCCAGGTACAAGATCATCACAGTGCATGTGTTTGATAGCACCAAGGACTTCCCCTTACCTGTTTCTAAGGTAAATCAAACAGCACAACATGACTAGAAGTGAGATACCTTTTCCCCACTTCATATTTTGCTTACAGCTGGTTTCTTGGAACTGTCAGTCAGGAGCTTGTGGAAGAATTGGGAATTTACCTCCTTGCTTATGATAGAGCTGGATATGGGAAAAAGTGACCCGAATCCCAAGCGGCATGTCAAGAGCGAGGCACTGGATATCGAGGAGCTTGTTGACCAGCTGGGGCTTGGGCAGAAGTTCTATGTCTTAGGGGCCTCAATGGGAGGATACTCAGTTTGGGGATGCCTCCAGTATATACCACACAGGCAAAACATAAACTTCAACCACACGCATTGTTAATGAAATATGCAACCCTTCATATACGTAAAAGCTCCATATGCCTTGTGTGCAGGCTTGCAGGAGCTGCGATGGTTGTGCCAATTATCAACTACTGGTGGCCTTCTTTAACAGCTGAACTATCTAGGCAGGCTTTCAAGAGACTGGTTGTGCCAGAGCAGAGAACTCTTTGGATTGCACATAACATACCATCCTTGCTTTACCTGTGGATGACCCAGAGGTGGTTCCCTTCTTCTGCAGCAGCCATGCACCACCCTGAAATATTTAGCAAGCATGATATGGAGGTTCTTCAGAAGATGATGGCAATGTCAAAAACCATTGAGGTAAATCACAGCCTCAGAGATAAATGTAGAAGAAAGATAGCAGAACATGAAGTGCTACTTGACAGAGTCAGAGCAGGTCAATTTAATAAGATTGTAATACAAGGATTAGCTTCCTAAGCATTCATGCCATAGAGACAATAATATAGTAATACATTTACATGAAAAATACACCAAGAAAGAGTATCAAAAAAAATATGTATTCAAAGCTGACCTGAAGCAATAAAAAAGGGCGTACCAGTGAAGAGAGCTCCCGCTCTGTGCGGGGTCTGGGGAAGGGTGTTAGTGGCAAGCCTTACCCTCACATGTGCAGTGCGAGGAGACCGCTACTCGAACCCGGGACCTTCCGGTCACAGGCGGTAAGACTCTACCGCTTGCACCAGGCCGACCTGAAGCAATGTTATATAGAAAAATAACTTATCCCTTCTAAAGATTTCTTGACATAGCACTGATTTGCTGCTGCATTTTTCAGAATAAATCAAGGCAGCAAGGCATTTATGAATCAATCCACCGTGATTTACTTGTCGCTTTTGGAAGCTGGGAGTTTGATCCAATGAACATTACCAATCCATTTCCTCAAAATGAGGGTTCTGTACACATCTGGCAAGGATACGAAGATAGGTTGGTGCTTGTTGAGCAGCAGAGGTACATTTCCAAGAAGCTTCCGTGGATCAAGTATCATGAAGTCCCAGAATGTGGACACATGTTCATGCTGGTAGATGGATGGACCAACCGAATTCTCAAGGCACTCTTGTTAGGAGAAGAGCCCCTAGATGTGTGACAGTAGGTCCATTTTCAAAATGTTGAAGAACTGCAGCTGCCAGCTGTTATTTTGCTTATTAATTTTGTTCGCCAAGTTGTACACCTGTATTCCTACAGCACCAAGACTAGTCTAATTCATAATCTGATAGACTTTCCAGCATATCAAGTCATTACAACAGCAGTGAGACCATTGTACTCGTCCCATACACATGCTACCTTTGGTCCAAAATTGATTTCATCCTAGAAAGCGCGTAGTCAAACATTCAAATTGGAGAGGGGAGTGTTTTGAGTCCTTTCTTTCTTGAGCACTAGACGAATCCTAAAAGTGTGCAGGCACTAACAGTCTACATAGAAACATTAAAAGAAAGTACACATCAGTTTACTACCAATAAAAGTTCGTCAGATAAGCACCCTGGAAATGGAAACCATACATAAAAGCAAACAGCATACACTTGAATCCAGTTCTTGGAAATGAAATAGCATGGTGCCTCACACCAGGTAGCAGCAGTGCTTCGGCTCAATCAGACTTGCAACGACCAGAATTGATCTACAGCAGCTGTTCATTCAGAAGGGAAGAGCCATGTTGGATTCATCAGGCTGACATCTGGTGCCCGAAGGTTGTCGTCTGCTATTTCCACAGCAAATGGCGCCATCCAAGCTGTTGATCTCAGTGAATCTGAAAGGGTTTGTGCTCAAGTCCACCTCAAATGCCCCAATCTTACAAATATTGTGCCAGCCTTCAGGTCCCAAGTATATCACAACCAGCAATAGTTTCCCGTGCCACTCAACTATGTTCCACCTCTGTCCATAGCTATCCTTGACCTCTGGCAGTTGAGTCACACAGCGCTCGACACCAGAAACCATCAGGCCACTGTCGTCTTCTGAGATGTCAAAGACAAAGAGGTTCGTGGTGACCTTGCTAAACATGTAGACCTTTCCCTGGTACAAGGCAATGTCACTGAACTTAATGATGCTGCCACCTTGGCACACGCACCACGACGTCATTCCAGGCCGCCAGAGGGCAAGGCTAGCTGTGCTCCTGTGCACGGAGACGGCAGCCACAATGCACTTGCAATCACGGTCAGGTGAGGAGGACAAGACTACCTTGCAGAACAACATCAATACTGGGCGTCATTGACCGTGCATTGCACTGCACCAGAGCCGTTGGCGATGGGGACAGATTTACTGTAGGCATCGAGGGAGTGGGTGGTTATGGAAGGCGGCGGGAGGCGGACGACGTCATGGCAGAAAGCGTTCATCAGGAAGCACCAGCCGTCACCAAAGTAGCGACGTTTGTTGAGCTGCACGCCGACGAGCCACCCGTCAAAGGAGCCCACGCAGCGGATGCCCACCATCTCCCACGAGGGCAGGGGGATGCGCCGCACGCCCGTCATAGCCCCGTCGGCGCAGAAGGCGGAGAAGGAGAGGCCGGAGAGCACGAGCAGCGGGAGCGCGGCGGCGGTCGCCCGTGGACGCGCGCCGCCGCGCGCCACGCCCGGCACACGGACCGCAGCCTGGCGCGGGGGAGGCGACCGACCACGAGCCCCAGGATGTCCGCCGGGAGGTCCGCCCACAACAGGAGCTCCGGCTCGCGCCTCGCGCTGGGCCTTGGCGGCTCAGGAGCCGGAGGACATTCCGTCGAACGCCTTGCCTGCAGCCAAGCCATCGACGGCAGTGGTGTGCCACGGCAGTGCCCGTGTGGGGCGCAGCCGGGTAGAGGTGGGCCTCGCCTCCGTCTTCGGGTAACTGTGCTCGTGCCGCGATCCATGGCCGCCTCCGATCGGTTCATCGATGGTCAGCAAGTATGGGGACATCCTGTACTGTTCAACAGACCGTGGAGATGAGGCCCTTGCGCCGGGCGCTGGGTGCCTCGGCTCCTTCGCACAACAGCACAAGCAGGCTTGGCTGCTACGCTGGCATTGGCTAGCGCTTCTGGTCAAAAAGGTTGCAGTGTGTGTGTATTTTTCAGAAAAAAAAAAAAAGTTGCCCTTTTTTGCAAAAAAAAAAAAAAGAGCCCTGACTGCATTTCGGTGTGTGTCTTGTGGGCCGCCCATCTTATTTCAATGTGTGAGAGCTGCGTATCACTGTATTAGAAAAAAAAAGGAAGATATGTCCCATTGATCAAGATACTCTGCAATGGCCCTGATAGATAATGCTCCTCTAGTATCAGAGAGACTTCTCATGTTACTGAGAGCCTCTCATAAGCTGTTCTCTTGTTCACAGTTCTTTTTTTTAGATACAAGTGCAAACACATGAGGCACAAGGGTAGATATCTGTCTGACCATCTGTCTGAAAAAAAGTGTATTTTTTACAACCTCCAACTTCTGAGACAATGGCATGGAGAAGAAAGCTCTGATCAAACTCTGAACCTGAATAGGTAAGGCTGCCCAGGGGCGATCTGGCTCAGTTTTGCACAGCCAAAGCCATCTCATGGAGAGCCCATCCCAATTTTCTGTAAATTGAAGATACCAAGTCCGCCAAGCTCAAAAAGCCAAGTCACTTTCAGTTTCAGCCAGCAAGTGACCACCTTGCGCATCCTTTCTTCCTCTCCATAGGAAACATCTCCTAATTTTATCAATGGCCATGAGAGCCCAAGGTGGAATATCAATGTCCAATGAGCAGATAAAGCAACATGGAAATGAGCACAAATTGAACTAACATTCAACTTCCAGCCATTGTCAAAAGGTCGGCTTTCCATCCAGCAAGCTTATCTGCTATCTTATCAATGATTGGCTGAATCTCCTAAAGAAGAAGGTGGATTAGGTGTTCTTAATCTCCAAACTCACAATGAAGCCCTTTTGCTTAAACACTTACACAAGTTTTTCAATAGATGCAACTTACCTTGGGTGGAGCTGGTTTGGGACAAGCACTATAAAAATGGAAGGCTGCCAAGTTCTACGGTGCCAAAGGGCTCATTCTGGTGGCGAGATGCCCTGAAGTTGCTGGACAAATATAAAGGAATAGCCAGTGTGATAATCTCCAATGGGCAGACATGTTTTCTTTGGAATGATATGTGGAATGGTCAAGTAAGGAAACTCCAATATCCAGAATTATACTCATGTGCAAAAAATAAGTCCAAGTCCATAAGCCTAAACAAGGCACATGGCACTGCTGCTCTTCATGATCTTTTCAGTCTACGAGTGTCAATTGAAGCTTTCAATCAGCTACAAGAACTCCAGCTTGAATTCTCAGCAATAACACTCAATGAGATGAATGATAACTGGACATACATTTGGGGCTCTACTCAGTTCTCTTCATCCAAAGCATACAAAACACTCACTGGTCACTCCCAAGCAGCACCAATCTTCAGATGGCTGTGGAAAACTTCCTGTCAAGGAAAACACAAAATTTTCTTCTGGCTGGCACTTAATGATAGACTAAGCACTAGAAATATGATCAGAAGAAGAGGAATGTTTCTAGATGATTATCAGTGTGTTCTCTGCCAGCAAACCCCAGAGGAAACTATCATGCATTTACTTTTCTACTGCCCCTTTGCTAAAAATTGCTGGGGCCTGATGAACTTCCACTTTGCTGATCACCTTTCAATTCAGCAAATATTTCAGGCTTGGAAGTCCCTGGTGATGGTTGAGTTCTCTTTGGACATATTCATTCTACTCTGTTGGGCAATTTGGATGATAAGAAATGATGTCATTTTTAGAAATAAAAACCCAACAGTGCAAGATTGCAAAAGATATTTAACAGTGGAGGCACTCCTCCTGCATAGATGCAAAGCTAGAATCAGCCCCATCCTAGAATCATGGATCAATTCCAATTTGTAATTGTTTGGCCTTTTTGGCCTTTTTTTTTACTCCTTTGCCGTCCCTTAACTCATCCTCCACTTTCTTTTTTTCTTTGCTCTGTTTGTATCTGCTCTTTGTAACAGCACTTTGTGTTCTTTTTTAATGCATTTGCAGTAGGAGCCTCTGGCTCCTCCTGATTCCTCAAAAAAATGATTGGCTGAATCTGAGCCCTTGTTAGCTTGCACAAGGAAAGAGGCAGGCCGAGATATTTGCATGGAAAGTCCATGAACTGACAAAGGAGTCCTTGTAAAGCTTTCACTTCACTTTCTGTGCATTGGATGGGTAGCACACTACTCTTGTGAACACTACTCTTTAGACCAGCTGAAGCAAACCCAAAGTTATTAAACATCAGTAGTTGAAGGATGATATTGGGTCCAAAGTTAATTCAACATCACCACATGTTTGGAGTCCTTGTTTCCTAGTTTGTGGCATTTAGCTCTAAACTCTTGTTCTTGTCTTGTAACAGCTGGTAACCCAGAGGATGATATTTTGCTTTCAATAAGTCAGGGTCAATGCTCTGATCTAAAAAACATTCTTTTTTGCCCTAAAAAGAGTCAATTTTTTATGATTATACCAACATAAAATATGCAGTTTTATCAGATGAAAACATCAATGAAGTCATCAGAATTGCATCAATGTCATTATTAAATCTACTACTTTTTATAGCATATGCTTAAGAAAGAAATGGTCAATATTGTGCAATGGAGGACATATTAGTCACCTAAATGACAAGTGGATCAGACCATTGGTAGTACTATAACTTGGCAGCTCACAAGTCTTAGAAACAACAAACACAGGAAGAAAACAAATTATAGTAATATGCAGTCATTGTCTAGATAAGATCAAGAAAGGCTTCAGTACATGAGCATTCTCTCAGTATTTTCTTAAAATTTATGGTCTGAGATTGATAAGACCAATAGAAAAATTAATAAGCTTGCATGTGCCTCATTTCTACAGTTAGTCTATCAATAAAAAAAATCAAATATCAACAACCACCATAGAAGAAAATAAAGCTCACAACAACAACACAAGCAAGTTGGGGTAGACTAGAGTTGAAACCCACCAAAAGCCCCAAGTCACGGTTCAGGCACTTCAATAGCTGCTTTCCAAGTACTTCTATTCAAACATAGATCTCTAGGTATATCCCAAGCTTTCAAATCTCTTTTTATTGCCTCCCTCATGTCAATTTCGGTCTTACTCTACATCTCCTCATATTATTAGCTTGGCTTAGGACTCCACAATGCACTGGTGCCTCTGGAGGTCTCCTTTGGACATGGCCAAACCACCTCAATCGATGTTGGACAAGCTTTTCTTCAATTGGTGCTACCTCTAGGCGATCACGTATATCGTCTTTCCGAACTCGGTCCATTCTTGTGTGACCGTAAATCCATCGCAATATACGCATTTCTGCAACACTCAGTTGTTGAACATGTCGAATCTTTGTAGGCTAACATTCTGCTCCATACAACATAGCCGATCTAATCGTCGTTCTATAGAACTTGCCTTTTAGCTTTTGTGGTACCCTCTCGTCACAGAGAATGCCAGAAACTTGTCGCCACTTGATCCACCCTGCTTTGATTCTATGGTTAACATTTGCATCAATATCTCCATCCCTCTGTAGCATCGATCTCAGATACCGAAAGGTATCCTTCAAATGAGTGAAACTGCACTAGACAATAGCATGCCTAGCTATGGCCCTATTCGCTTGAACTTATCAGCCGGCTTATTAGCTAGAATCTACAATATTTTTCTCTCATAACAAAACAGCTTCAGCCGGCTTTAATACCAGCTGAATAGGCATTAGCACCAATGTACCATTGAAGCTTTCATATGAGTACAAGCATATCATGTGATGTATTAGCTCGTCCATGGTTCTGATATTATGCATGTTGTCAAAACTCACTCGCATACAGGCCATACACTTTCCACTTCTACTTATTTGGTAAATCACTAACCAAGGCCAAGTACCATTTAATACATATATTCAGCTACAGGTTTGCACCTCGGATCCAACCTCTTGCGAACTCGGGAGCTCTGAAGTTTTAACACAAGTGAAACAACAAATGCTGATGTGGGCCGAAAATTAAAAGAACCTTTTAAAAAAAAAATGTTCATGTCAATAACAGTTGGGATAGAGCTGAATTTTTTAAATGAATAATCTTCTCATTAAATGATTCAATGAATGAGAATACAGTTACATATCTGACAGGTCAATATACTTTGACTTAGCCTATGGCAAAATTGATGGTGATACAAGAATTATTCGTTACAAAAAATTCTCGGTATGTTCTTACCAAGAGAAATCCTATATATAATTGAAGAAAGCTCAGTCTCAAAGGCCCACGGCCATTTACTATTTCAGCTAGTTGGGTAAGGAATTGAAGGCCAACAGGTTTCCAGTATACCTTATCAAAAGGAAATAACAAAGGGGACAGAATTGTATAAGAGAGGTTTTTAGAAACGGAGCAGATGCTTACCACCCAGTTTTCACTAGAAAACGTATCTCCATAGCTATGATGCCAAGGAAAGAATTCTGACAAGGTTTAAGCAGCAAGGGGAAGACCTGTTTGTGATCAACTATTCATTTGGGAAGCACCCAGCGGATTAACTAAGAGAACATGGTCCCAAAGTCTTGCTTTTCTTCTTTTGGATGGAATTGCCCCCAAACTCCATCTATCATCTCTGAGCAGCAAGAGGAAGGCCTCTTTTTGCTTAACTATTCATTTAGAAAGCACCCAGCACCTTAACTCAGAGAATGTTATTTCAAACTCTTTTTTTCTTTCCATTTTGAAATGAATGGCCCACGAACTCCATCTATCACCTCTGACCTGAAAACAAAAACGGAAATTGGTTGGAGACATGAGCAAAGCTAGGTAACAAGCCACTGATGAAGAGAAATATGCATATAGGAGAAAGCTCTTACAGGGAGATAACAGTGAAGCAAGGACAAAAGGACAAGCTTTCAGAGATCGACCAATCTATTCACCCAAAACGACATTCTCCAAGTACTCAATTGCATGGTGCATGTGACCTTCATCAAATCCGTTGAACAAGGCCTTATGTGTTAAATAATCTGGATGAATACTGTTCTGATGCATTTCAAAATAGAATCTCATCGCATCTTCCCAGTTGCCCTCTTTACAGTTCCCATCTATCAACAAAGTATATGTGTATTTGTTTGGCACCAATCCCCTTTCTAGCATCTCATGAAAATGACGATAAGCCAGTTGAGTTCTGCCCGTCCTGCATAATGCATGTATGAGGACATTATATGTTATTTCATTAGGTTCAACTCCTTCCTCCAGCATCTTTCGAAACCAACCATACGCTGAATAAAGGTTTCCTCTTCTACAATATGCATGAATAAAAACAGTGTAGGTCACAGCTGAGGGTGCCAAACCATCTGAGATCATGTCCTTAAAAAATTTTCTTGCTTCTCTTAGGAGTCCCCTTTCACAGTGCGCATGAATCAAGCAGGTGTATGTGATACAATCAGGCTGTAAACCATTATTGACCATCTTCATCTGCAGCTCTTTGGCATCTTTCAGGTTACCAGTCCTGCACAGTCCATCAATAAGGATATTGTATGTCACTGTATCAGAAGATATGCCTTCCAACATCATCACCTCTCTCAACTGGAAAGCTTTGGAAATAGCCCCTAGGGTTAGCTCCGCACAAATCCTTGTATTATAGGCAAAGCAATCTGGCTGCAAACCTTTGCTCAGCATCTCATCAAAGAATTCTCTTGCCATAGCAAGGCTACGCACATTATGCGAGCCCTTCATGAGAATTGTATATGTACAAACATCAGGCAAACAACCCTGTTCTACCATTTCCTCTTTCAATCTCCTGGCTTCCTCTAAATCACCTAATCTACAATAACCATCGATAAGAATGTTATATGTCAAAACTGTTGGTGCTAACCCTGCACGCCTCAAATCGCCATACAACAAAAGAGCCTCTTTCAAGCTACCTGCCTTACAATACCCATTTAGCAAAGAATTGTAGGTGATCACATCTGGTAGCAAGCCCATCGCCCTCATTTCCACAAACTTTGCCTGTGTAGCCTCTATCTGCCCACTTTGAAGCAGCCCATGGATCATTGCATTGTACGTCACTACTGTAGGCATAATGCCCTCATTCTCCATCTCCAGCTGCAAATCATCAACCTTTTTGACAAAGCCCCTTGCAAGCAACCCAGTGATAAGTGGATTATAAGTGAAGGATGAAGCCTTCTTGGACAGCCGCATTCGCTCAACCAGCTCCGCTGCCTCCTCAAGGTCACCTTTCCTAGCCAACCCAGTAATCACCACATTGTACGTGACATCGTTCGGCAAGCAACCACTCCCCTGGGTCTCCATCTCCTTCAGTAGCATGTCAACCTTGTCCTTCCTTCCCTCCTTCAAGAAAGAATCCAGCAAAGTATTGTATGTGACAATACTCGGCTCAATCCCGAGCTGGAGCATCTCCGCATGCACAGCACAAATGTCGTCCCACCTGGCTGCATCACGCAATACACGGAGCACACGGTTGCAGTCTTTAACGTCAGGGGCCACGCCGTGGCTTGCCATCTCGCGGAAGGCGGACAGGCACAGCGTCGAACAGGTGTCGGTCGTGGCGTCGCGGGCTTTGCATTCCTTTGAGTACTTGGTGGACAAGCGTAAGAGGAGGCTCAATAGTGACCGTGGGGCGGGAGAGAGTGGAGCCGATAGGAGGAGGGACACGAGGGGGAGGAGGAGGCCGAGGTGCAGGGCGCGGAGGGAGACAGGGTAGGCAGCCCGGATGTGGTTGGCTCGGGCGAGCGGGACGAGGACGGCGGCGAACGCGGAGGCGGAGCGGGGGAAGCCACACGGGGTGGTCTCCGCCCACCGGAACAACTGGCGCGCGAGGCCCGGGAGGCCGCGGAGCGCGGAGTGGACGTCGCCCGTGGCGAGCACCTGGCGGAGAGGCTCCGGCGGTCGGGGGTCAGAGGCGAGGAGCGCGGCGAACGGGTTCTCCTCGTGCAGGGGCGGAGGCGGCGGAACCAGCGCCGGCAGGGAGGAGGAGGAGAAGCGGATGCTAGAAACAGCTGCTACGGCGGCGGCGGCGGCTACAGGAGCTTGTGAGTTGCAGTGTGGGATGTTGAATAGCATGGATTATGATTCTGGTACAGCCCGGCGACGCCTCGCCATGAATGATGGCGCGGCGGCGGCGAGAAGGAACCTGTGGCAATGGCTGCGGCGCATCCAATCCACTAGATTCCGGCGCCCGTATGGGGTCGAGGGCGCGCGCCCCAGGCTGCGGCCCCCGACCTGGAGTGGAGGGCGGGCAGAGGGGGGCCTTGACTGAGATGCCCGGGAAGCGGCGGCTGAGCTGGCTTTGACGGCGGTGATGCCTAGGCGGCAGCAGCGGCGGCGGCGGCGGCTGGTGAGACAGAAAGGCGCCGCGGGTTGGAGAGGAAGAGGGATCGGAGGAAACCAAGGCCACGTCCACGTTTACCAGAGCAGCGCTGGCGCTGCCGCCGGAGGTGCACACGCCATCTGCACCGTTCATTTGCATCAAGATGTGTGCAAGAATCTTGTCTTAGATTCAGTGCTTCACACACACTGAATCCTGACCAAAATCCGGCCAGGAGTATAAACGCTGCAAAATCAAATTCATCCGACCAGGAGTATGAACGCTACAAAATCAAATTCAAATGCGAGGTTTTGACATGAATCTTAGGGTTCGAGCCTGGTGACATGCAAATACAAACATACAATGAACCTGGACGTGAAGAAACCACAAAAACTTCGAGTAAAAAATAGAGGTTTCAAATCCACGACGAACTCAATGCATTTTGCATTTTCAGTTACTATATACTCAAGTTGGACCCTTTCTATCGATATAACAGAGCACATTTCTGACATGCCGCTCAACCCTGACCTGGGATATGCACAGATTGATATCTGAAGAACCCAAACTTCACGCTCATCTCAATTTTGCCATTAGTGCAAAAGGTTCAGTAGTATAAATGCAGCTATTTCAATTGACGATAACAAGTAGGAAGCAGGATCAAGGTGGTCGGTGATTTTGTAATGCTCTTTTATTTATTTAATCAGAGAACACCACAGTCCACAGCTGAGTTTTACATGCAAATGGATTGTACCAACTTACAGACAACATCAATCATGTGAGGACCTTCCAATGTGATCCCTTATAACAGGAATCAAATGGGATAACGATGATTGAAACCTAATTCTGTTGCTCCCAGCTGTATATGACTACAAAATGGTTTAGTGAGCCAAATTTCAATGCCACCTATGTCCATATATATGGATGCTACAATGGTAACTCCATTTGCTACAGTACAAGGGCTCGTAGAGAAGGAACTCAAGCCAAAGTTTGAAGTTTCTGATTTTAATGTACTACTAGGAAGGTTCGACAACACAACAATCAATAACTGTCTTCATCTGTCTCAGGCCTTCGGAGGTAATAACGCAGACAATTGATCAGTGCCTATACAAAAGCAAAATAAAGTGTGCAAAGTGAACACAATGAAGACAGAAAAAAATCACATTAAGTAGAAATGATTATGATGTTGCTGAAGTGACCAAGGAAGTAGACCTGAGATAAGGAGCTGTTTAGTTTTGCACCTCTGTAACTCACATGGAACTTGTCCTTCGCAACCAAACCCTGTATAAAATGCCAAAATATCATCTAACAGGCTTTAATGGTCTTAGCTGAAAAAACAATGAAGTGAAATGCAGCATACTTCAGTATCAATCTCAGCTGATTCCACATCAATATTTGTGTCCGCGATGATCTTGATTATCTCAAGAAGTAGGCCAGGCCGATCGGCTGTCTCTATGTAAAGCATGCTGCGAATTTCAACAGAAATCAATGAGGAAGCAAGTGATGCAGCATTGTATGAACAAAAAAGAGATACTCATCGAGTTCAGATTCTACTTATGTTGGAAGTGATTCCTGGGGAAGGACAAATATGCATTTCTAACATGTTGGGATGCATCAAATTTGAAAGGATAAAAGGATACAACTAATAGATAGGCACAAAAAAATGATTTGAAGCTGATTATTATGTGAAAAGCAAAATATAGGGCTAAAAGAATCCTGAAACAGTTAATGATACATATGAGGAAAAACAACTTTGATGGCTTCACGTGGTATTGTGTTGCCCATGCCTACATGTTCTCAGCCTATCTGTGATACTAAAAAACTTTCTGCTGTAACCAGATCCAGTTTACTAATTATTTGGTTTGTGTGAGAAGTAATGCATAGCTCTTTCCAAAGTCTTTCTACAGGAACTGATACTACATAACGCAGACAGCATGGCTCAAACCTAAGAGGTTCTGCCTGATGTCTTGCTGTACAGGTGTACACGAATAGCTAATTCATTCTGTAGTACAAAATATTTGGGAAATATACCACTTGGTGTTAGTACTTATTTTCAAATGTATAGGACTTCTGCTAGGATAAAACAATACACATGGGCATGAAACAATAAGATTGACATATATAACATGACAAGTCACGGGCGTACCCAGTGCAGAGAGCTCCCGCTCTGTGCGGGGTCTGGGAAGGTGTCAGTGGCAAGCCTTACCCTCGCCTGTGCAATGCGAGGAGACTGCGACTCGAACCCGGGACCTTCGGTCACAGGCGGTAAGACTCTACCGCTTGCACCAGGCCCGCCCTTCATAACATGACACGTCACGAAACATGCAAAATAACAGTTAATCTAGAAGTGGCCGTACATGCTTGGATCATGCTAAATAAAGGAGCTAGCAGAATCAAACCTTCTTTTGGGTCCATCATCTTCAACAACTATACGTGTTGCAATATCGACAACAACCTGCCAGTTCAAAGATCAAAGAATGCAAGTTCAGGCTTCAATGTATTATCGAAGATCAAAGCACGAACCAATAGCATAACAGAGTAAATTTGAAGCCTTCCATTTCCTAAAATTGAGATAATGCACAGATTGTAGTCAAAAAGATGTCTAAACCCAGATAACATGATGCAGCACAGCATCTGAAATTACAGAATGGGAATGCATTATGCTTGCCTTCTTCTCAGGAGGCTTTATCCCAAAAAATTCACCCATCGCTAACTTCTCACTTGATTCCTATACAAGGATTACATGACTACTATGTTAGTTACATTCAATGAAATAGTAAAAAATAGGTACAGCAATAACGATGCAGAGTAACAACTAAAACACACAAGAATCTAAAACATACAGGATGATACTGGAGAAGGTTGTTGATGATGGTTAGCCGAATCCTTTCTAACATGTCAGGGTCCTCAACCTTGCGTCCACTAGATACATACAAAAGGGAGGAGAAAATATTACTGTAAGAACTAATCCAAATAAAAATTCTGTAGTGCTAAAGTAACGCTATAGCATTTAAACGGAATCTTGGTACAAAAGTCCTTAGGGTGCCACCCTTTTTTCATCTAAGATTGAACAAGGGATTTCAAGAAGGAATGTCAATACTCTGAATGATTGATATGTGACAAAGCATATGTGCGAGGATTATATGATTACTATCAAATATCTCAAGAAAACACTAGGCTAGATGAAAAATAGTGGAACAGTATAAGAAATCTATGTGTGTACAGGTACAGAGTATAGTTGAGAAACCTTATCACATGAAAGCTGAACAAAGGTAGCATAAATGTGCCGATGCTATGCTCTTAGGCATTAAAAGTGAATGTAAATGCATACGTGCAGGAATAGCAAATGCTCTCTTTTGTTTTCCACGTAGACACACATAACTAGATGCTGCACACGAAAATAAAACAGGAAGGGGCAAGCACCCACAATCGCATGATATGGAACTTTGTTTGTGTGACAGCTGAGTCAGTTGTCACACTTCCTTTTGTGACATCAAGGCCAAGGTCCTTGAGTGCTTTCATCTGCAAACAGCGAATACCAGGCAAAATAATTGGCAGATACAGCAAAATGTAAACATCACAATTTTGAGCAGCAACAATGTAAAGACAAATCTATACCGTATCAAGTAGTGCCCCCAAACGATCTCCAAAACTTAGCTGCACAATGGTTGCATCACGGTCTGAATCTTGATCTATCTGGACAACTGGGACTGGGACTGCCTCGTCAGATGTCTGGGATGAGAATTTTCCCAAGAATACACATTAAAGCAATCATCGGCGAATTGAATAAATACAAAAGTAGCGTCTACCACTGATTAATAGCAGCATGTACAAGAAATAAAGCACGAGGAATAAATGGAGTTCCTCAAGCAGTAAGCCAACATTCATTAAAAGAGTATATCAGAACATATATGTGCTGATGACAGCCAAATAGAGAAGTAAACAGATCTTATAATCGAGAGTTCGAGACTACAAGGGCACGCTACATTGTCATGAAACTGTGGATGCAAAAGGAGAAAAGGAAAGGAAACGGAGTCATGTGAAAACATACCGTTGAAGAAGCTCCCAACGCATTAGCTGAGTTGATAGATTGGCAACAAATTCTGGTAAGAATTAAAAAAGATAAAGATGATTATTACATACAGTGTATAGAACAGGGAAGTAAAAGTATTATACAAGACAGATCTATTTAGTACTATCATTTATATGTAACTTAGGAATTGAGACGATAGAGTCGAGGGTTGAACAGATACAGGACGTGAAGACAGAACTTCCCAAACGAATCCTACTACTGCCCAACTTATCACAGGCGCAGGCAAAACTTTCCATATACCAATCTAACAAAATCATCAACCGACAACTCGGCGAAACCGTCAAACGACGAACCAGGCTGAATTACCAGGGGCTCAACCATCATCTCCAGTCGTCGGGACGAAAAATCCCCTAGAGAGTACTAAAGCCAGCACCTACGATTCTACGAAACCATTGCTACTCTGTAACGAGCAACGCAAGTGGATAATCTAGCGAAGCCGCGCAGCCCGGAGACTCGATCCCTCCAGCGAGCAACATCCGAGCAGGGCGAGCAGAGCGCGACGGCACGGAAACGGGCCCCGGGCCCTGGGCCCCGCGGGGATCAGATCGCTCACCTTCGGGCGGGTCGGGGCAGAGGGCGTGCGGCGCGGAAGCGCAGGTGCCCCCGCGACGGGGTGGGGGTAAGGGTGGCGGCGGGGGCGACGGGCAGGAGGCCGTGGTGGGAGGC